AAAAATAATTAAGACAAATATGAAACATTAAAAATTACTTACTTGAAATTAAAACCTGGAACATACAAAAATAATTAAGACAAATATGAAACTTTAAAAATTACTTACATCAAATAAAAACCTGGAACATACAAAAATAATTAAGACACATATGAAACATTAAAAATTACTTACTTAAAATTAAAATCTGGAACATATAAAAATAATTAAAACACATGTGAAAAATTGAATTACTTACATAAAGATATTACAATAGACGCAGCTTAAAATTAACTTAAAATTAACTTAAAATTAACTTAAACTGATATGAAATAATAAATTACTTACTTGAAATAAAAATCTGAAATAGATAAATGTTATTAGAGAAACATAAATCATTGAATTACTTACTTGAAATAAAAACCTGAAACATACAAAAATAATTAAAAGACAAATGAAACATTACTTACTTAAAATAAAATCTGAAACAGATAAATTTAATTAGCGACATATGAAACAATAAATTACTTACGTGTTTATTACCTATACAATAAGTGGGTGTAAAAATAAAAAAAGAAATAGAGAAGAAAATGCAAGATTAGTAATGTTATAATGTTTAGGCATGCACAATTCATGATAACATTTTCGGAATAAAAGTGAAATAGAACTCGAGTCGACTCGATATAAATACGAAAATGAAATATAATATATTTGGGAAATATTAAATTACTTACTTGAAATTTTAGCCTGTAACATAAAAATGTAATTAAGACATATATGAAATATTTCATTACCTAATTAAAATAAATCCTGAAAGATATGATTGAAATTAAGACAAACATGAATCATTAAAATAAAAACCTGAAACATAGAAATATGAGTAGGAGACATGAATAATTCACTACTTACTTACTTAAAATAAAAAGCTGAAACCGACAAATGTGAATTACTTACTTGAAATAAAAATCTGAAACAGACAAATTTTATTAGACACATATGAATCAATAAATTACTTACTTGAAATAAAAATCTGAAACAGACAAATTTTATTAGGCATATATGAAATAATAAATTACTTACTTGAAATAAAAATCTGAAATAGATAAATGTTATTAAAGAAACATAAATCATTGAATTACTTACTTGAAATAAAAATCTGAAACAGACAAATTTTATTAGGCACATATGAAATAATAAATTACTTACTTGAAATAAAAACCTGTAACAAACAAAAATAATTAAGACACACATAAATCGTTCAATTACTTACTTGAAATTAGATCCTGAAACATACAACAAAATGTAATTAAGGTAGAAAATTAAAGAACCACGAATGAAATCTTTTCGAAAGATCGAAGTCGAACTTGAAACCGAAAAATCGATATGGAATTTGAAACCGAAATCAAAATTGCGAGGAGATTTCGAAATCTCAAAACTAAGAATAAAATCGCGATGAGGTTTGCAAACCCAAAATAAAATCTTGGAGAGTTAAAAATGTGAAAAAACCGAATTAAAGTCAGAAGAATCTAAAAATCGATTTAAAATCAGAAAATCCAAAAGTCTCGAAGCTCCGAATAAAATGAAAGAACAACGTGTCTTAAAAACCAGACAAATTTTAAAATACTGAAGAAGAAATAAAATAGAGAGGAAAACTTGGAAGCTAGAAACAAAATTTTTTAGATTCTGAAAAAAAATAAAATCCTGAAATGTAAAATGTGAGTACAGGATGCAGGACACATTCACTCTCTCACTCATACTTACAAATATGAATCATTAAAAATTACTTACTTAAAATAAAAACCTGTAAAATACAAAAATAATTGAGACAAATATGAAACTTTAAAAATTACTTACTTAAAATTAAAATCTGGAACATATAAAAATAATTAAAACACATGTGAAAAATTGAATTACTTACATAAAGTAGTAAAATGTGAGTACAGGATGCAGGACACATTCACTCTCTCACTCATACTTTAATACATATGCCCTAACTGTACCTCTTATTCTAAAATTGCACTCGTATATAAAACTTTGTAAAGAAACTTTGAGAAAAAGAAGAAAGGGAAGAAAGTTGTAAAAGTTTTAAGAAATTAAGAAAAAAAATGACAAACTATTATTAAGCAAGTCTAATATGTAAGTTAAAAAATTGTGAAAAAAATGAGTGCAATTTAGAATAAGAGGTACTTACAATATGCGCAAGCTTTTCGCCACATATCGTGACGAAAAACCTGCGCCCGAGCCCACCCTTCCTCCCACAAGCTCGGAATGAATGTAAAACTAAAGCACTCAACAGAACTTACCAAAAATTAAATGCTGAAACATACAAAAATTTATTAACTCATTCGAAAAGAGAGAACATAACTTACCAAAAATTAAATTCTGAAATAGACAAAAATTTATTGACAAAGAAATTTGAGAAGAGAGAACAATGTAGAAACTTACCAAAAATTAAATGCTGAAACAGACAAAAGTTATTAAGACAAATATAAATTATTTCATTACTTACGTAAAATAAAAATCTGAAACAGACAAAAGTAATTAAGACAAAAATGAATGATTTCATAACTTACTTCAAATTAAATTCTGAAACAGACAAAATTTTATTAACATAAAAAATTAGGCAAAGGTGTGAAATATTCGAAACAAAATCGCGAAATAAAACCGTAGCTCTCAGCTCGGTATAGTTTTCTAAAGACTAAAAAGTCTTTAGAGAACTATACCGATTACCGGGTCACACCACGTGGAGGTGGCTACGATAGTGACCCACCCTAACT